TGTTTATTCCAGTTCAATTACTAAATGCCATTAAAACAATGAAGTAAATATAGCTTGAACTTTGCCACATCTACAGAAATATTATTTATAGCACGGATTTGCATCGAAGAAAACATTGATAATAATTAAATAAACATGTACAAAACCTAACACTTCTTAGAATTCTATATAATCTCAGCAATTACTCTATTATAAATTGGAATCTGTATGAAGGTTCGTGCATTAAATGAATAAATTGAGATAGAATTTAACGGGGTTTTTTTCATTTTGGAATAGCAATGAATTTACAAATCTATATCGTTGGGCATAACGCCCACTTCCACCGATGGTGATATCGCAAACAAACTTACGGCTCCGCGGTGGTCCAGAGAAAGGGCAATGGACTATCAAATAGAATGTCCAGGGTTCTAATCTCACCGTGAGCCGATAACAACCTTTGAGATTTGTATCCCGGTTCTCACTTGTCAGATCTGGCGGGATTGACAATGACAATGACACCTTGAGCCGATAACAACCTTTGAGATTTGTATCCCGGTTCTCACTTGTCAGATCTGGCGGGATTGACAATGACAATGACACCGTGAGCCGATAACAACCTTTGAGATATTTGTGTCCCGGTTCTCACTTGTCAGATATAGCGGGGTTGACAATGACAAATGCTTAGTCTTGAAGATGGTACTAAAAATGACCACTCATGTTAAGATAAGGGTAAGTAAAATACTTCTGCAGTTGGAACGTGAATTGGATTAGACATAACCATTTAAAAATGAAAAATGCAATATGTTAGTCTCAAAATATCTGAAATATTGATTGCAAAGACGTCAAACCCCATTCCATTCTTTGAAGCTTTTTATATATATATACAAGTCATATATTAGGGAAACCAATTACATCACATATAAACACTATCAAATTTAACAATGTTAAGATAATATACAAGTGGGTGTCAAATAATGAAACATACAGAGGGAATTTGTTATCCGAACTGAATGGAATATTGTAACAGTATTATTGTTTTTATGATCGATACATTCATAAAAAAATAGTCTCTACAACCGGAACACACAGACAAATATGGTTGATCGCAACATATAAACTCATTCGAATGTGGGCGTAAAAATGACAAATACACAGTTGATGTTCAAAACAAATAACTGTGTTGTTAAAACTATGTTTTTAAAACCTGTTCTCTTTAATACCATGTACTGGGAGTCCACAAGATACAACATTAATTAACTAATGTGTAGAGAGGCATCCATTCGGTGAAATTTTTAAAAATGTATTCTCTTTGTGTCTCTGTGTTCAATTGCATCAAAACCAGATATTTTTACTGTGATATTTTATAAAGAATGGATCAGGAAACCCCTTAGCAATTAGCGTGCAATCATTTTAAACTTATGTTTTTCTACAAATAAAATAAACAGGAATTTATTCAGCTGTTGTGCATCGAGTGCGATGTTTAACACGTAATGCTACTCCCCTCTAACAATTCAAGCTTTGATGTCTGTTAAAAATATCTTGCAATCTTTATAGTTTCCTACTTTTTAATTGCAGATTTGTTTCTCGTAAACTGGAAGATTTGCCCATGTAATGTATGATAATAATCTCTATTGCACGTTGTCTTATTCATTCGGACTATTTGATGGCTTTCATATGCATTCCATTATGTATCTAGACTGTATACAATCTGTACATACAGTATTGCTACTTCGTTTCGTGTTATGTTCCTTCTTATTTTAAGTTCTCACAGTATCATACCAACATTAATATGTACCACACGTCTTGAAAATTAATGTTATTTTGTAAGATATTTAGTTAGATATTGTTATGCATCACAATGTGAAATGTTTGTTGTAACTTCCATACTCATGCTTGTACATGTAGTTGAGAATAAACTATTATTATTATTATTACCACGGTCATCGGGTAAGGAAGGACTGCGTCATTCGCGCAACGGTGGATTTTACCGTAGAGATTTGGTCGAAATTAGTTCATCGTAATACTGACAGAAAGCGAGCCATCAGTGTTATAACTGATTGGCACTAATTGGAAGGTCACTTCCATAAGTGACTCTTCTGAGGTTTATCATTCAACGATAAAGACTGTGGTATTTCCCGTAGAGATCTGGTTGCAATTATTTCGGTGCAATACCGACGGAAGTCAAGGTACCGGTGTTATAGCTGAATGACTTGAATCTGAAGGTCACAACCTTAAATGACTCGTTTGAGATATCAATTCTTGTGGCAAATTCCACAAATTACTGCTCCATCGGCCCAAAACATCAACAATATCAAAAAAACCAACAAAAAAACACATCAAACTAGTACAGTATCATGAGGTTAAATTGATCCGAATGAATTATTAGCCAATCGTGATGTTTCCCTGGCGTTTGAAAATGCTCAGTTCTGACGGAAGACCTCGAGGCGTCTGTATTATCTATTGAATCATGTTTATATTAGTTAAAGCACCCACTTTCCGCATCAAATAAGCTAATTGGTTATGTATAAGATTAAAAGTGAATAATTTTGACGGATGAAATATTATTTTCCACCACTAGGAAGTCGCCAGGTTATCCCATGAGTATTTGTTAATGTAATTACAATCCGTGATTAACTAAATCTCCCTGTTAGCTTTTATTTCTTTAGACGTGCTCATTTACGACGAATCCGTCTGCACTCTTCGTTAGTGACAGGACTTCGTGCTCAACAGACTGAAACGTTATGATATTCCGTCGTATGATTGCATCACTTTATAAGATAATCAAAAGGGAATGTTGAAAATTCTTTAATATATATAAGTGGGAACATCCCATGGGATTCTTTTGGTTAAATACACAGAGATATGTTCTAAATCATATGACCAATATAAAAAACTAACAATTTCTAAAAATACTTGAAGATACATTGGAATGAAGTTTCAGAAGTTTGGGCTCGAAATAATAATAATAATAATAATGAATTTGTGTAGCGCCTCTCATCTAAAACTGTTCTACTCGATGGCACTGAGCTGCACTGTCACATTTGGTATTCACAGTTGAATAAGTGAGTCTTCAAGGATAATTTAAAGGACTCTAATGTTCTGGCTTCCTTTAATGTTGCTGGGAGTTTATTCCATTGGATGGGTGCTGCCACTAAAAATGCCCTATCACCACATGACACTTTCAAAGTTTTTGGACAACACGGTCGTGTTTTGATGTTGATCGAGTTGTTCTTTCTCCATTTTTGATTTGTATAAGATCCCTCAGGTAGGCATCAACTGTCTCTGACAGACGATAACTCCGCCCACATATTCTCGATTAACGGTAAATGTTAGCTTGGTCAGCTATTAATTAATGATATAATTATTAAATGGACTACTGTTTAAATCAAAGCTGTATCCAAGGCATCCGAGGGTCTACAGGGTTGACTTGGGACTTGTTATGTAAATAAAGGTCTAATTAATAATTTCTATAACATCTGAAGCCTATAGAAAAAACTTGCAATAGGCATTTTTAGCTCGTCACTAATGTATCTTTAATGTGATTGTAGCGTGTGAAAATTGAATCGCAAACAGGAATATCAGTCGAAAAATGGCTCAATTCCTTTCAGTATGTACACAGATATGACGAACTGAAAATCTCATCTATCTATGCGACCCCCTGTGTCACAATCCCCATAACCTTCTTTATCTGTAGTGAACCAAATTGATGGGCCTGTTTTTAAATAAATTGTTAGATAATCAATCTGGATTAAACCACGAGTAATTTGATATTTTCTGAAAAATGCAAACTTTAAGTAAATTTTAAATAGATATATAATTGACCAGACAGATGGTTTGTAAGGAAAAAAAATGATAAAATTCTGATACACTGTTTATTTTTAGAGGATTGGATGTCTATGACTTTGTTTATATTATTGTATTAAAATATCTAACGGTAATATGTTACATTTTGTATCTTTCAATGATAATAATAAAGTAAGACTAAAAGCTTTCTCTCTCTAATCAAGAGAAATATTTGAAATGTCAAACATTGTTGTAATCTTATTATTGTTCATGATAATGGTTTCAGAACAAGGTTACGCCATTTACATATAATATCTTTATATTCACCTTTATTCTCTAAGCTAAATCCGTCTTCATTAGCGCAGCCGTAGAAGAACAGTAAGACGTTAAACTCCATTTCATTTTCTTTATTCTCTAAACTAAATTCGTCTTCATTAGCCCAGCTGGAGGAGAACAGTAGAACGTTAAACCCCATTTCATTTCATTTTATTCCAACACTAAACGTCGGAATCTTGAAAAAAAACCTACTCCACTCGAAACATACGTACATGCCTTGCTGCAAACAAGTACGATAGTCCTATATGAGCAAGGAACCGAAGTCATCGCCGCCATATTGCAATTGTGACGTCATACATCAATCGAAGCGCAATTGTCCAAGGAGCAAACATGCCAAGTTTCATCATATTTGAATTGGCGGAGCCTTAGGCCTTTTCGAAGAGCGTCTCCTCCGGACCTCCAAGAGTAGTTGATCTTGGACAGTAGTCATGAAAATGTTTAATTGAAGTTACATTCATTGGTAAGTATAAGGTTTTTAAGGAAATTGTGAAAATTAATAAAAGTTTAAAATATTAAATATACCGATTACTCTGTAAAACTGTGAAATCTTCTTTAGGAATCAATAGTTTTGGCGTTATAATCGCTTGGAACGTGAAAAGGGTCAGCTTTACATAACTTTTCTCCTTAAATCAGATTTATACAAGACTGTTAATTGACTATCTTTTGATGACAAACATCTATACGCCACAAACATCAGATTTTAATTGGTTGGAAATTTGATGATAAACATTGCTGTTCCATGTTCAGTACAATTTCATATTTGGTATATAACTATTTAATAGTTTTTGTACAGACGTTAATTCAATAAACTGTTACTATAGCAGTTGCAACTGAAAAGTTCCTAATTCGTTAATTAAGTCTTGGAATATTTTACGAAACTGTTGAAGTATTATGATTCAGTTGTATTTTAACCTACGAACGTGCAGTGTACACATGTAGCGAAGGATGCCTTCGTGAATTGATCGCTATATAAACTGTGTGGAGAACCGCAAAACCCGATAGTGTTCGACTTCATCGATTCAACGTACTGGACTCACTGTTAATTGAATTTCCATATCGACGATCTCGATGTTTGCATTTCTCTAATCCGATTGAGCTGATCTGCTTAAAAGTTTTGATAAAGATGGAGAAGTAGTAAAGCAATTCTGCACTTCAAGACGATCATTTAAATAGGATAAGAAAACTTCCTTTATTAACAATTTCTTAGGTGTTGGGTTAAGTTATGGAAACCGTACAATCTGTGTACACACTGTGTGATTTGAAGGAATGGAAAAAGTAGTGAAAACTTTTGTTCACATGTGCGCACAATTTACATTTTCTGGTGAAAGACATTTATTTTAACGTCTAGAAAAATGGGAGCCAGCCAGTGTCGACAGGAGTCGATGCCATCACCACTACGTAAACTTTCTAGAGTAATTCAACCGTGTAAGAAGGCAATACAACCTGTACTTACAGAAGAACAACAAGAGTTATTACAGACCTCGTGGAAAATTATCAAAGACGATATTGCTAATGTTGGAATATTTACTTTCATAGCGTAAGTTAGTCTAAAACTTATTGTAATTCCATCAAAAATGTTAAATCGGTGACCGTTGGTTAGATTTACTTATGTTACTGGAGTGAAATTTGTGTTTATTCGTCAACTCTTTATATTATTTTAAGAATTTCTTTTTGGGGTGAGGCATAAATGATTGACTATTACAAACCATGATCGCATTTTCATCACTGTTAAGTAGAGAATTTTCAGTGTTTCAATATACAACTTTTGGGGGGAGGGTGGGTGGGTCACGGTGGCTAAGATGGTAAGACGCTGGCTCGCTAGCCTGGGGATCGGGTGTTCGATCCCTGCATTGGCCGAGAAAGTTCATCCAGATTTTCCGGCGTGGTTCCCCCTTGTTAGTGATGGAGGATGGGAGGGCCTGGCAAGGACCGCTGTCTAGTCGTTCGGATGGGACGAAAAACCGAGGTCCTGTGTACACATTGGCATGCACGTAAAAGATCCATTGACAGTTGGCCGTAGTGCCGCTGTCCGGGCAAAATTTCCCTCATAGCACACTGTTTAGCGTATGCCCGTCTTCATTAGCACAGTTCGGAGCAGAACAGTAGGACGTTAAACCCTATTTCATTTCATTTCATTTACAACTTGTGGTTAGTATAATTGTTATTCTATGTGTTTTAAATATGGAAGATATTGGAGAGTTTGAAGCATGAATACGACCAGTGGTGTAAACTTTGTTCTCACCAAGGTCTTTCAATGAGATGATTAAATCAGGCCTAAATTTATTTTAGAAATAATAATGAAACATTTTATCTCCTGATTCTGTAATCTGGTTAAATACGTGAGTCTATAACCTTATTTGAGGCCACTCTTACTTTTTATTGAATATGGGCCCCCCTTACAAAATAATTTGTTTACACTAAGAATTGTGGTGAATTGTGTGGATCCCTCAGAAGTTGTCTTTCCTTATATCTTCCAAACATATTGGTCACTCGTTATCTTGTTTATATAGGTCAGGTATACGTGTACCACCGATAATATCTGAGTATTTACGAATTCCCGTTTAATACCACAAAAAGTCATGAATTATTTCTTTAATGGACAAATAGTTACACAGAAATAGTTACAGAAACAGTGTTTCCCCTTTCCTAGTAATATGTTTAATGAATAAAATGGGTTTTAACATCCTACCTTTCTGCACCGACCGTGGTAATGAAGACAAGTAATGTACTTAATACGAAGTATAATGGAATACAGAATGTACGGTAATTAACTACCGTTTTATGTGATAAATGAACGGATTCCATGCATTCACTACTACTTAGTTAGCCAAATGGATCAGAGGAACCATATTGGTATTTGTACAGTTCTCCACAGAAATATCCCAAGTAATAACCTAACATAATATATCAATAGATGCGAGAATATTACTAATAATGATAAAATCGCAGAATCAGAAGCGTATACGTTTGCTCCATAAAACATCGTAGCTGATTATCCCTTAGCAGCTATCCGGAATCTACAATGAATCGGACCTCTTTCAATTCACATTCCAGATGAATAGCTTCTAATCGACTCAGTGATTGACCGCTTAAAAAGACTTAATTTCACTGGAATTGTTGATTATCAAATTATCAGAACGGGGTTATAGATGAACGTCGTATTTTACTCCAAACGTGTTTTTAGATAATGGCGTCTTGTCTGTCGTGTAATCTTGCAAATCAATAAATTTACTTTTACATGCTTGATTCGTTTTTTTTAAAGAGTATATAAAATACATACAGACATAAAATATACAATTAATACATAGCAACTGAGTCATCTCTCTGGAAATATATAAGATGCCACCAAATCCATTCAAACTAATTGAGTACTGTCTCTGCGAATATTTTATAGAGTAATATTCATGTATCATTATTTTTTGTTCTCATGAAACATTTATACCGACGAAATACATCCTTGCGATATTTGTGACTACAACAATAGTATCGAAATCACCACAGTGGTCAAGGGGTGTATTGTGGTCTCACGTAGCTAACAGCTTGGTTCACGTTCGGATTTTGGAATGTCTGTGTTTTTTCTTATTGGTTTACATTCGGGTTCAAATGAGGATGGTCCATCTGTTTTTAAATTCTAACACAAACAGACAATGATTACAGCTTTTCGGATCAACTGATAGAACAATTATAGTAGCCCCTGATCAAGAGCTAACCCTAGTAAAAGTGTGTGTTTTTGAAGTCATCAATGATATCAGGTCTTTGGAGTTCCCCGGGATTAAAAATGTTTGATGGTTTCGTGATTGACGTAATGAACACAATGTTAAATTTAGTATTTTGTTTCAAAGGAAGAGTCTACAAATTTTGATAAAAGTTTATTCTAATACGCGTCATCGTTATCTATCCATCTATCGTTAGACGGGCCATCACCTACAGCTGTATGCTCCACGGAGTTGCATATGCATCAAAGACCAAAACAATAACATAACGAATATTTTTCGTGATGCTAGGTACATGTAAATGTCATTATAGGACTTATCTACATAGTATAGATTTAGTTTCCAATTAATATGGATTGTCTGGCACTGGATGTTGATTGACAGTAGCCATGACTCTACAATTCCCACAGGTAACAACACCTTCTATACAATGGAGTAGATGGAATCGTGCGATTAACTGATACGTTATCTTCGTTTGAACTATCATTAATAAGTGAAACTTTGTGTTATTATGATCAATCATTTACCATTCGCGTTTTTTAATGAACAATAGTAGCGGTATAATGGATGATCCCTGCTGGACCTCCTTGTCAAAAAAAAAAACAAACAAAAAAAACCAAACCCAAAAAATAAAATCCATACTGTTCAACAAAACATGCTAAATATATATTTGTTAATATAATTGTTATTTACTAGAAAATGTTACTAAACTACGGGATGTCAATTCGTTAATAGCAAATATGTGTATTACTGAATTGGGAATTAAAACCACTGTCTAGTTGTTTATATGATTCCCGCATTTGATCATAGACTAAAGCCGTGCCATGTTTTCAAATACTAAACTTATGTTTTGAAATTCACGAATTTAAGTCAGCCTTTTTGTTACATAATCTCCACGTTTGTAAAGTCTACATTAGGTTTATATATTGATACTAAGTAGAGTCTGGAAAATCTAAGAGTTGACCTTATTGATTAGTATTTCATGGGTCACACCATATATACAAAGGAAGAACCCAGATCTAAACTAACATTTTTAAAAACTCTATAAATCATGCAATTCAAATCGTCATTTCACTGAACTCGATTTGTCTCAGATTCTGAAAAAGAAAAGAACACATATTTTTGATCGTTTATCAGAGCATGGTTAACGAATCCCGGAATTCATAAGTTTCTGATAGACACTACGATAATCAATAAAGCCAGCGGGTAACAAATTTAAATTTTCAGCATCCGACACCCCCTAAACAAGAAAACACTCTAGGGATCAATTTAGCGCAGAAAAGAAGGTAAATTACCCTGGTATAGAAATATAATTCAATTCAGCTGAGTACATAGGGATAACCGATGATCGTAAACATTTAATTCAGTTCCGATATGCATTCTTCATACCAGCAAAAAAATCCAAGTGAATAATGGCATAAAGCTGAATTTGTATCACTTTAAATGGCATGTAGATATCTTGTATTTCGACACATTGCTGATCTGTCATCAAATTAAGATTTATTAAAGTTTTTCATATACTTATCCTGTTATAGCCACCATTTATAATACACTCGTAGTTTCTGTGTATATTAGCAAGATCTATGATTTCTGTTGATAATGTTATCAAGCAAACAATTACATACCTCAAATCAGTTGGAATTGAAATGGAGGGTGTTATTAGTTGGATTGGTTTGGTAAATCTATATATAGAAACAAAAATCTAACCGGAGATCGGAGGTGGGGTAGTTAGAATTTATGTCCTTTTTTATTCTAGAATAGTTTATAGCTTACTTAGACGTCCTTGTATATAATCATTGGTGATGTGTTTCATATTAACCGATGAAGCTATTCAAACGCGTGACCGCAAATAAATGATCTCTTTCCGTGTCTAACATTAAGAATATAATAAGCATATGAATTTTTTTTTCTATTTGAAGATTTATACTGCTAAAAGCGTCCTCTTTATGAGAAAAATATTGTTAAGTCTTGTCAGTATTGAATTAACCAGAATTTCACTGGCGCATATTCCAATAATGATGAATGGGTTTTTAATGAAGTTTGAACTGGTGTAGTCGGACAATGGAAGGATAATTGCGCAGAGAATAATAGGTTTTTTTAATACCATTAGTTACTTACTTATCATAATATCGTGTCCACCATTCCATATTTGCTATCAATAATATCAAATTGAATGGATATCAGTTGTCTTATCTTTATTGGTCGAGTGTATATTGAAATTTAGAACTGACTTAATCAAAGTTTAATGATTTCATATCGTAAAGATAATTATACTTATGAATTACATTACATTGTAACAATATTCTAAAAGATTACCAGAATAGACATATCGTCTAATAACATCCTGGGTCACTACGCTTGAAACAAATACTTCTAAATATTATTAAATAAATCTATAAAGATAGCCAGGCAAAGTTAGGAAATGCGCTCATACAACAGCTGTTTCTTGGGGGAAGAGTTCACCATATCAGTAGCTTATCCGAAAGGAAAACTTGGATATTGATACAATTTTATAAGGATCTCTTTTGTATCAATAAATCTGCTTATCGGGCACGTAATATATCTATGGAACAGAAAGTCCTAGGATTCTGAAAATCGTCCTAGTATCCGATCCAAATGTTTCAAAACAAATTTGTAAAGCAATGGGGTTCATCCTCCGGCTGTAAAACAATATGCTTCATCTCAACTTTTCTTGTCCACGTTAATTAAATATAATTGTGTATGCTGAAATTATAAATATCTTCTTTTCTATATTTCCTGGATAATTTCATTCAACAGCAGATATTCTAAAACATTAAAATATTAGTTGTATACATGTATTACC